TTAAACAAAGAACTGCAAAACACAAACTCCCTTGGAAAATTTCCTATCTAAGCTAAACTGCCCAAGTGTAGGATTGAACCGTAAGAAGTCAGTGGGAAGGGTCAGGGTGGGAACCTCACAAGGAGCTCACAGCGCAGGTTGGAGAAAGAATTCTCACACAGTGTTTAGGATAGAAAGAAGTACAAAGTTTGTTTTCCTCAGAGAGTGAGAGGAGGGAATGGCCACGGCACACAGAGAAAGGAAATGGGCAGCTGAGGGAAAGTTGTTTAGAGTTTTAAGGGTAAAAATGTTTTTTTTCCCCCTGCTTTAGCATGCTGGTAACAGAAACGGCAGCAAAGCTATTCTTTTTCTTTCCCTGTGAGGCCAGCTTATCTGAGTCCCTGGAATCTGGTGCTGGCAAGAGCTGAAGTGGGGAGTTCGCATCCCTACTGTCCACTTAGGGCTCTTCAAAGCTAAAAAGCAAGTCTTAGAGATAACAAGTTAGGCCACGGGTGTTTTAATAAAAACAAATGGTAGTTGTGTTGTGAGTTTTCTCTTCAAAGGGGCAATTATGTGCTGTGAGGTTTTTTTTTTGTGTGTGAGAGAGTCTCACTTTGTTGCCCAGGCTAGAGTGAGTGTCGTGGCGTCAGCCTAGCTCACAGCAACCTCAAACTCCTGGGCTCAAGCAATCCTTCTGCCTCAGCCTCCCGAGTAGCTGGGACTACAGCCATGTGCTACCATGCCTGGCTAATTTTTTGTATATATATTTTTTAGTTGGTCAATTAATTTCTTTTCTATTTATAGTAGAGACGGGGTCTCGCTCTTGCTCAGGTTTGATTTCGAACTCCTGAACTCAAATGATCTGCCCGTCTCGGCCTCCCAGAGAGCTAGGATTACAGGTGTGAGTCACCACGCCCAGCTGTGCTGTGAGTTTTGTTTCCCTACTTTCCATTTGATAGTTTATTTTCCTGTTAGATAGGTTATTAGTAAGGCCACCTTTCATTTCTCCCTGTCTTTGGTTAAAATTAAAATTTTTATTTAATGAATTCAGAAAATGGGGAATATGGATGGAGGTCTCAAACCTTTTGTATTTGTTTTCTGCTGGGTCATTGGGTAGAGAGGTCATTTGGGTCATGAAAGGTGAGGAATTGAAGATGGACAGTTTTTGATTTTGTTTTTTTTTTTTTGCTAGAGTGAGTGTCGTGGCGTCAGCCTAGCTCACAGCAACCTCAAATTCCTGGGCTCAAGCAATCCTTCTGCCTCAGCCTCCCGAGTAGCTGGGACTACAAGCATGCGCCACCATGCCCAGCTAATTTTTTCTATGTATATTAGTTGGCCAATTAATTTCTTTCTATTTATAGTAGAGATGGGATCTCGCTCTTGCTCAGGCTGGTTTCGAACTCCTGACCTTGAGCAATCTGCCTGCTGCGGGCTCCCAGAGTGCTAGGATTACAGGTGTGAGCCACCGCGCCCGGCCTGAAGACGGACAGTTTTAAAATTAAAAGTAAGATTAAAGGCAGAATGGGGGTGTCACTGAAGAGAAACTGCTAAGGGTTGAATTCAGTTTTGTATGAATGTTATTAGATAGCGGAGAATGTAGATTCCAAAAACTAGAGCTAAAAGCAGAATCACAAGGGCCCCTAATAGAGGTGTTAACCAATGTTAACCATGGTGGAGTTTAACCAAGAGAACCATGGCCACAGGTGGAGTTTAAAATCCTGCCAAATACACCAGAAGTTCCTTGTCCATGAAGTGTATTAGTCCTTTTTAGAATGTCTTGAATGTCAGTTTGTATTTTTTCTGACTAGTTAACAAACAGTAATCTTCTAGTATAGCACATGTGTCTCCATGACTAGCAGTTAAGAGACCAAGAGTTCACCTTTTTTGCAAAACAAGTACCAGGGAATTTGTTGTTGTAATATAGTAATTTGTTGGGTTGAGTCCATGGCTGATTGGCTTATTTCTAAAAACAATCTTTGGGTCGTAAAGACTGAATTTAAAAAGCCAGCAGTGTCAGTAGCAAGCCCTGTTGTTACTGCAATTATTGTGAAGACAACAAAGGCAGCGTGCTAAATAGGGAGAGGAAAGATAGCATTGGTAAGAGTAAGGTTAGGGATTATATATGCCAGAGTACAAGTTCCTATCCAGTTTGTCAAGAAGCGGAGATAAGCATTTGATCCACAGAGAAGGTAGGTTCGGTTTTTGGGATTTAGACAAGTATCTATGGATATATTGAAACAAAGCATTGTAAGGTGGTCTTTATGTTCTATGCCTTCATAAGTTAGTCATTTCAGCCAATGGAGGTAAACATGAGGTACATGTAGGAATCGCAGAGAGGTAATATGTCCGGTTGAAAGAAGGAATAGTAGGATTCTATCTACCCCATAGGCCTGAGGGATTTTTAGTTTTTCACATCTCTGGCGGCTGATGTTACTATGTTGGAATTAAAAGTTTTTTTCCCTTGAAAGGGCAGAAAGGGAGTTTGGAGTAGCCAGTCTGAGTGTGGCCAGGTGAGAGTGGCAGAGATGGAGGAGGAGGAATAGGGGGAAGTATACTGAAAGAGGGAGGTAAAACAGAAACCTCATCTGGAAAGTGAAGACAGTGAGAGAGATGAAGGGGTTAAGAAGTAAAATGTGGCAGGCAGAGTGAAGATTAGAAAGTCTAGCAAGTTTAAAGAAAGCCTGAATGTAGAGAACTTTAGACCCTCTTGCTGTGCCAGTGGCAATAGAAGGTCAACTGGCAGAATAGCATTATGATTAAGAGATCCATTCTTGGGCCAAATTTCATTTAACACAATGTTGCCTGTGATGGCAACTAGGAGAAGGAAAAGGACATTTAGGGATGTCTTATGTTGAAAATGGAAGAAATCTGAGGGGGCGTTCCAAACTCAGCTGACCTTTGGAATTCTGACCAGACATCAGGCATCCCTGAACTCTGAGTCAGACTGTGACCTAGAGATCTGGCCAGAAAACAGGTGTCCCAAGTTCTGACTCAGATCTGGACCTCCAAGGGACTCCCCCAGCACCACCCCCCAATACCCTCCCAAATGGTAGACTCAGCACTGGGTTTTTAATCCTTGACCAAACCAGAAAGCTGTCACTCCCAACTTTGAACATATGACTATTTTTAGAGGCCTAGAGACTTACCAAATTCCAAAGGAGAGCACTGAGAATGAAGTCCTGGGAGCTGTGTAGCAGAGGAGGGAACAGTCTACAGACAGAAGCAGAAAATTGAGCTCCTCATATGGAGACACAGGAGTGACTCCCCATAACAAAGACAGAAATGTGAAGTTCCCATAATGGGGATAGAAAAGTGACTCAGTTTCTCCTCTCTGTATAGGCCACCAAATGAAAGAGGGGGGACCTCATGAGAAGCTTACAGTATGGGGTTGGAAAAAAAATTTCACACAGTTTAGGATAAAAGAATACAAAGTTTATTTTCCTTAAAAAAAAAAAAGGGAGCTGGAGACAGAAGGAGGGAATGGCCACAACACAGAGAAAGGAACTGTCAGCAGCTAATGAAAAGTTGCTTGGAGTTTTTATTAAAGGGTAAAAATGGCTTTTCCCCCCTACTTCAACAAGCTGATAACAAAAGCTGGTGGCAGAGGTGTTTGTTACAGGTCTTCTTTCTTTTTCTTTCCCTGTGAGGCCAGTTAATCTGAGTCCTTAGAATCTGGTACTGGTGAGACCTGAAGTGGGGAGCTTACACCCCCACCGTCTGCTTAGGGCTTTTCAAGGCTGAGAAGCAAGTCTTAGAGATAACAAGTTAGGCCACAGGTGTTTTAATGAAAACAAGGGGGAGGTGTGTTTAACATGCTGTGAATTTATTTTCCTTACCTTCTGTTTGATAGTGAATTTTCCTCTGTTAATACACTGACACACTAGAAAAAAATTTTTTTCTCCTTGGGGCCACGATGTTTATTATGAAAATAGAATAAAAACTTCGAAAACAAGACAACCCTTTCTAATTTAATAAAAAATTTGTTATTTTTTATTTTCTGTGCATGAGTCATACGCAACTTGAAAAATAGTTTTGGCAGCTCCCCAGGTGAAGAGATGTGTGACTTACATATGTTTCATGAGACCCGGGGCTCTAAACTAGCGTGAGTTAAATACAACTCACGTGGCAGTTTATGTGTTAAACAGATTATTAGTAAGCCACTTTTCAGTAAGATTCCAGATCCTGAACTCACAGATTAAAAGGGCCCAGGACTCTAGTTTCTGGAAATACCTGCAGACCCTCTCCCTACAACGGGGGCAAGGAGCAAATGTGCATTCAGGAAACGCCTAGTTTTCCCCTCAAAGCCTTTCTGTGACAATGGACAGACAGAGACCACTGACATCTCTGGCTGCCAGACGATGAGCTGGATACCTGATCCAGGTATCCAGGAAGCTTGTCTCGCAGGAGCGGGTGCATGGACGCGGGCTTTGGAGGCTGGGCTCGGTGCCCGGTGAGGCACAGCCCCTTTGTCGTGGGTCTCCTCCAGGGGCCCAGCCTTCGTCCCTTGGGCACTCTTGTGGCTTGATTCACGCCCTTGCCCTCCCATGTGAGCACAACGGCAGACAGCTTGCGGCTTGGGGACAGGCACGCACCCTCGTCAGCCCTGCGGAAGCCGGTCGGCAGGCCCCAATCAGGTTTTTACAGCTCCTTTAGTAAAAGGGATAGCAGGGATCCTAAACTGATATGGGACCAAGACAAAGGAGGCGGCCAGATGCGCCTGAGACCCCGCCTACCCTCTCCGCGGTCACCCGGGGACAGAGGCAAGGCCGAGCTGGGTCGAGTTAGGACGTCGAGGGCCGCGTCCAGTCTGGCGCCGGCCAAACCCCAGCGGGACAAGGCGGGCGGGGCTGACGGAGGAGCCGCAAGATGGCGGCAGCCCTAGAGCCCGCTGCACGCCGGCGCGGGGCTGGATGAGCGAAATGTCCCGACAGGCCGCGCGGCACCCGGTTTCCGGCTGTGGGTGGGGAGGGGGGGGGGTCGGCGGTGGCCGGAAGCGGGCTGAGCGGGCCTCTAGGAGCGCCACCTGCGCTTCCGGGGGCCTAGCGAGTGACTCTAGCGTCTTCCCGGTAGGCGGCGCGGGAGGAGAAAGAGGTTTGAGGGGCCGGGCCGGGCGGATCCCCTCCTTCCCCAATGTGAGTAGTTTCCGAACCCCCGTCCGGCAAAGGCTGTCTAGAGAGGTGGAGCCGGTGGCCAGGCCGGGAACATGAGGCAGTGTCTCTTCTTCCTGACCAGCTTGGTTCCTTTCGTGCTGGCACCGCGACCTCCGGACGACCCAGGCTTCGGCTCCCATCAGCGACTTGGTAAAGACCCGGGGGGAGCTGGCGTAGGCCGGCGCCTGGAGCGCGCTGCTTTGAGGGAAGAGCTGGGGAGCTGGATCTATCAGGTGTTTGGGGGCGGGGTATTGGGTGATGGTGGCTCGTCCCTAAGTTTTCAAAGTAGGAAGGGGGTGTGGCTCTCTTAGTTTAGGGAAAGAATAAAGATGAGCTTGTCTCGTGTGGGAAAGGGGTACTGGAGGGGCTTCCTGTAGTAACTGTGGGTCTGGGAGGGGTCTGCTCCCTGAGTTTGCGTTTGTGGAGTGTGTTGGGAAAGAGGTAAGAGGGTTGGGCCGGGGGGTGGGGGTGGGGTGGGGGTGGTTGGCTCATGTTTGAATAGGGAGATGTGGCCAAGGACCCTGCGCGGCTAAGGAACAAATCTAATGTGTGTTCTTACCGAAGGCCGGACTTTGAGAAGGAAAGGAAAGGCCCAAAGCTCCAGAGTTCTTCATCTGGAGGGAACTAGAATTTCTACTGTAGGAGGTACTTATGCAATAATCTGGTTGGAAGGCGGCGACTAGAGTTGTTTCATATGCTTTTGTTGCTGGAGGTAGAGTCTTGGAGTTGCGTTTTGTGAACATCATAAGCACGTTCTTGGTTATTTAAGTTGTAACTTATTGGAGGTACTTAGGGGATAGGGAGAGGCCAAAACCTGCCAAGCCAACTCGTGATGCTGCCACAGTGAGTGCTTTCCTTGCAATGTCAACCAAAGAAATTAGCAGGGATGACCAGTTTGATCAGTTTAGAGCCTGGAAAGTAGAGGGTTTCTGTTTAATTAGATTTTGCAGAGAGATTGGATTTTTAAGGATGGACATATATTGAGATGTGAAGTTTGGTGCAAGTCATTTATATTTCTATAAACTTTTAGTGTATCTTAGGGTCCTTTATCTTTCAAAAGTTGACATGTCGGCTCACGCCTGTAATCCTAGCACTCTGGGAGGCCTAGGCGGACTGATCTTTTCAGCTCAGGAGTTCGAGACCAGTCTGAGCAACAGCGAGACCCTGTCTCTACTAAAAAAATAGAAATAAATTAGCTGGACAACTAAAAATATATAGAAAAAAATTAGCCGGGCTTGGTGGGGCATGCCTGTAGTCCCAGCTACCCGGGAGGCTGAGGCAGTAGGATTGGATTGCTTGAGCCCAGGAGTTTGAGGTTGCTGTGAGCTAGGCTGATGCCACGGCACTCATTCTAGCCAGTGCAACAGAGTGAGACTCTGTCTCAAAAAAAAAAAAAAAAAAAAGAAAGAAAGAAAGAAAGAAAAAGAAAAAAAAAGTTGACATGTAAGACAGTTTGATTAATTAGTAACAGTGTGTAAAGTTGTAGCTTTGTCATTTTTCATGATTGTATTGGTCCCCCCATCCCACCATGATATCAGGTATAATATTGTGCAGATTGAGACACTACATGGGTTTTCTTTATGGATAATCAAAATTTTTGCATTAGATTGTTGCCTGGCATTTTTTTCTTGTTTAATGGACAGAAGTTGTAATTGATATGTCTATTAAAGCTGTTGAGTGTTCTCACCTGAACAACTGCCTTGTAGTTGTCTCAAATTGAAATGGATTACAAGTGACTAGTTTAGTGAAAGTCAAGGGAGCCAGTTAGGACATGCCGAGAAGTGATAAGTCAATACAAATTGAAGGAAAGTTTTGAAGTATGGATGTGGTTTAGACGGAGCAATAAAGTGAGGATCTGCTTCATTTTAAGCATAAATGTTAATTAAAAGAATAAACATCTATTTTGAAGAACTAACACAATATTTGCACCACCCTAACACATTTGTTTCACTTATGTTATTATCATTCTCTTGTTCACAGGTGGAAAACGAATCCTAGGGAACCATACAGTATAGAGAAAAACATTACTTTCTGGATTGATTGACAACAGTATTTAAAGATCATAAGGGGTTTTTGACCATGTGGTTTTTTTTATTTGCAAAGTGCAGACCATGTGTATCAGAAAAATGGATAGACTTACCCATTTATTGACCAAGTATTTGAAGAACACATACTGTCCGCCAAGTATTAATATTATGTGTGGCATTGGAAATACAAAGATAAGACAATATTCATATTCAAAGGCTTGTGGTATACTGGAATAGACATACAGACATCTAAACAGACGCTTCTAAAGCAGATGCTTCTAAAGCAACATGGGAGGAGAGTGCTAGAGCCCATTATGGCAGGTTTCTGTATATCACAAAGGGGTACCCAGCCCAACCTGGGAAAGGAAAGGCTTCTTGGAGGAGGTGGTGCTTGAGCCCAGACTTTAAGGTTAGGTAGGTGAAGAGGGAAAATAAGGACTTTTCTAAAGGTGGAACTTAGAGATTGTTAGGACTTAGAGACTGAAATGAACCTTACAGATCATGTCTAATTTTTTAATAAAGAAGCAGGAAAAATGAGTCTCAGAAAGATGCAGTTATGTGTTAGGGTCACATAGTTGGTGATGAACATATACCTTGTGGGTATTTTTTCTTTTGAAGAATGACTTTGTTATGTTTGTTTGACAGCTCAGGATGTAATTTATTGCTTAACTTAACCCTACCATTATTTAGATTGAGTTGGTCAAGACCAACAAATAGTTTTATAGTTAAAGAGCATGGCTTATTATTTATTGTTTATTTTTATTGTCCTATAAATGTTACTGTAATGGCAGTACTAAATGTTAATTAGGCATATAACAACATTTTTCTGAAGGGCAAAAGATATATAAATGGAAGCCTGGCTTTTGGAGTACTCCATAGGTCACCAAAAATGATTTCAATTGAACGGTTATGAATTGCATAATTCTGGAAAGTTATGAGTCATATGAGTTTAGTCATGATGATATCTTGTTGAAGTTGCAGCTGGAGTGTGTAAGTCTCACTTTGATTTGAAAATTGTTTTCCCTTTGTGTTACTTTTAATAAAAGAGGATGTAGTGGGTGGAAGGAAAAAATATAGGTCACAGATGAGGGATGAAAGTTTGTATCTGAAACATACATATTGAAATTTACTTTGAGGTTAATGGCATGGGCATTCTCCATATTGCAGTGTTCATTTCAGCACCATTTTACTCAGTATTTTGACATCTGGCTTGCTTTTTTTTTTTTTTTTTTAAATATGTATTAGAGCAAGGGTCAGACTAACTTCCTCCTTCCTCCTTCCTCCTTTCTTTTTTTTTGAGACACAGTCTTGCTCTGTTGCCAGGGCTAGAGTGAGTGCCATGGCATCAGCCTAGCTTACCTCAAACTCCTGGGATCAGGCAATCCTCCTGCTTCAATCTCCCAAGTAGCTGCAATTTACCATGCATGGCTAATTTTTTCTATTTGTAGTAGAACCCGGGTCTAGTCTTGCTCTGGCTGGTCTCAAACTCCTGAGCTCAAGGGATCCTCCTGCCTGAGCCTCCCAGAGTGCTAGGATTACTGGCACCTGGCCCGGCTTCCTCTTTTGATGCTTATTTCGCTTATTGGCTGCATTCCTTTGAAAACTAAACGCTTAACCATCCCAGCTGCTCCAAGGGAGACTTAATATAATTCTACTCTGCACTAGTCAAAGAGAAAAACTGTATTTCTAGAATAGAGTGGAGAGAAGAGTTAAGTAGAGAGCTGTGATGGGGAAACTGGAGAAATTATTTTGGCTTTCACAGAATTTTCCAAAACGTTAAGTGTAAGTGTCCTCCAAGGCCAAGTGTGGTTGATTTTTTAATCCTTTACCATTTTGTATTGTGAGAGTTGGTAAGTGTATATAGCTGAAAGTATACTTTGAAGAAAGCCTGGAAAAGATTGGTAGAGAAGGAGGGACAGAAATGGGCTTCACTGAGGTAGGGAAGTAATATGAAAGTGTTGAGCACCCCTGATCTGAAATGCTCTAAAATCTGAATCTTTTTGAGCACTGACCACAAGTTACCCTGAACACATTATTTTTCACTGTGTTAATGGTATGCCATATTTTTTACTGTTAGTACTTATGTGTGAATAAGTGTAGGAAAATGATTACTGATCTACAGCATGTAAATTCAGAATCAGGAATGATGGTAATGCCAAACAACCACTGATTGTCCACATGGGTGGCTGAGATATTGACACCTTTGCTTTCTTTTTTTTTTTTTTTTTTTTTTTGAGACAGAGTCTCACTTTGTTGCCCAGGCTAGAGTGAGTGCCATGGCGTCAGCCTAGCTCACAGCAACCTCAAACTCCTGGGCTCAAGCAATCCTGCTGCCTCAGCCTCCCGAGTAGCTGGGACTACAGGCATGCTCCACCATGCCCGGCTAATTTTTTTGTATATATATTAGTTGGCCAATTAATTTGTTTCTATTTATAGTAGAGACGGGGTCTGGCTCTTGCTCAGGTTGGTTTTGAACTCCTGAACTCAAACGATCCGCCTGCCTCGGCCTCCCAGAGAGCTATGATTACAGGCGTGAGCCACCGCGCTGGCCAACACCTTTGTTTTCTGATGGTTCAGGGTGCACAAACTTTGTTTCCTGCACAAAATTATTTTAAAATATTGTATAAAATTACATTGACTCTATGTGTATGAGGTGTATACAAAACATAAATGAATTTCATGTTTAGACATGGATCCATCCCCAATATATCTCATTATATATGCAAATATTTCAAAATTCAGAAAAATCCAAAATATGAAACACTTCTGGTCCCAAGCATTTTGCATAAGGGCTACTTACCCTGAATCTCTTAACTTAGTCCTAAAATCAGCCAAGGAGATGGAATCTCCCTCCTGCCCCCACTTACTCCCTCCCCCCTTTTACCAGGAGTCATAGACTTTGACAAGTCTTGTCCACTGCCCTGGTTTCACTTACCATTTGACTGTGTTCTGCTATTACACATGTATCTCTGACCTGGACCTGTTCTCTGAAGCTCTATATCCAGCTGCCCATTTGATGTTTCCACCTCAGTGTTCACAGGTACTTCTTATAACATGTCCAAAATTACGTATCATTTATTCTTTTGATTAGAATAATGAGTGTAAGAGGCAGGTTTAGTCTAA